TCTGCCCAGTATTGGGTTTGATAGGTCTTGGTGGCACCCATCTCCTATCCAAGACCGATTTTTCCTCAGGGTTGTCTCCCGAAGATGGACTGTCTTTCTGGACTTATGAGCTCCATCTACCCAGTATTGTGTTTGATAGTTCCTGGTGGGAACTATCTCCTCTCCCAGAGCGATGTTCTCTAAGGGTTGTCTCCCTAAGGTGGACTTATATTACTTACCTTATCTTACTTACCTTACCATGTCTCCGCAACCGTAGGCCATACAGAGACAAGACTAGTACCAATCGATTCGTCTCGTCAAGTAAAATCGAAGGGTATATAAATCAGAGGGCGAACGCTATGCCTAAGAAAAATACGGGGGATTTTGTGCCTAGCAGTCTATGCCTCCCTGTGGCCCTAAGGTTGACAATGCCCCCTAGCTACATACAACATGGCAAGCAACCTGGAGGTGCGGAGCTTAAAGTGTCACGAGGTCAGCATGCAGCATGATCTCTGAGCCTAGAGACAGGATTTCCCCTACAGCCTTTGAAAAATCCCTATTCGGCTGAGGAGAAGCTATGAGGTGCGAAACCGGCATCAATGGGTAGATCTCATGGAGACCTATCGATTGATATATAGCTTCCCTAGGTCCTAGCCTCCCTACTAGGGTTCCAGCAGTATGGTCCCTAGGACCCTAGCCCAGTTTAGAAAAATCCCTATTTGGCTGAGGAGAAGCTACTTGGTTCTAAACCGCTGCCAAAAGATAGGTCTCGGCGAGATCTGTCCATTGGTGTGTAGCTTCACCTAAGTCCTAGCCTCCCTAGAAAAATTTTGGCAGCATAGCCCCAGAGGGCCCTAGCCCAGCAATCAAAGATCCTGATGGGGCTGAGGAGAAGCTATAGAGTGCAAAAACCACTGCCAAAAGATAGATCTCACTGAGAGCTATCCATTGGTATATAGCTTTCCTATGCTCTGGCATCCCTAAGGAAACTATGGCCGAAAGGCCCCTAAGTGCCCTAGCATAGTAAACATGAAGCTAAAATCTGGCCTAAGCATGAAGCTAATTAATAAAAAATATAATAAAAGGAAGGCAAACTCCATTATGGATAAGATTTTATTTTGATAAATCACACAGTGTTGTACAGTAACATTAACTGATGACGTTTCGAGCATAAACTATTGCTCATAATCATATGATATGAGCATATGATCATATGATTATGAGCAATAGTTTATGCTCAAAACGTCATCAGTTAATGTTACTGTACAACACTGTGTGATTTATCAAAATAAAATCTTATCCATAATGGAGAAAATCAACTAGAAGTAGATGAATATGAAAGGTAGAAAGTTACCTAACTGATTGGATACTCAAGTGTTGGTTTGTATGGATTTTACTGATTACAGGATTTTATCATGAGCCGACACCGGTAAGAAAACCACTGGAAAATCTGTGAGTACTGTCAGACAGCTGTTTCATCCATCTAGTTTGGGACTCTTCACCAGTACGCACACACCACCTGGGTTCTAAGACACCACTTTCGGGTTACAAGGTGATCTGGTAGAGTGCCATTGATCCCCTGGAATCTGACTTAGTGCCCAGCTCATGAATCCCAACTTCCGACATTTCACAACACAGTGCGAAGACTGACCACTAGTTGGTAACTGGTATCAGGCGTCTAGTACTTTTTTAGGGGCAGACTGAATTTTATCGTCAGTCCGTCAGTCCGCAATTTGGATACCATGCCCCGTGAATTGTTGTTAATATTGGGTGGTTTGAGGCAATCGGCCATAGGTTGCCCTGCACAGACTTAGATTTCCTGCTTGTTGGAATCCAGCAGTCAGCAAGACATATCTAACGTCCTGAAGGCATTCAAAATTGGGAACTAACTAGTAATCAGTATCATGCGTCTAGTCCTTGACGTATCGGTGCAGACTAAATTCTATCATCAGCCAAGATTATACTGTTCCTGTGACCGAAACTGCAAAATAAGTTGCTGATTGTCCCAATATTTTGATGAAAGCGGAATTACGGCCTTTTAGAAAGATGGAGATTGTAAAGGGGGCGGCTAAACTCAGTTTACAACGTCACAGAACTTCAATTGAAAACCAATCTGCCAACAAAAACAGAAGGTTTAAATGGCATAGAGTTATTGAAATTCACCTAGTGAGGCAGCAAAATCAGAAGGAATCCCTATACACTGCAGCATTGAAAGTCGGTCTGGAGTCTTAAGAGGATATTCTCAGGCCATTCACTATGGAAGACGTTCTAGAAAGGACGGGAAGGTATTTACCGATTAAAAGTAAGGCGACTCAAGCTTTTGCAGTTACAGACGTGAAATAGTGTTCCTGTCTTCAGTCAAGTGAAAGCATTAATTTGCGCCATTACGAAGAAACTGAACGACATTCTGGATTCGAAACTGCGCCTGAAACAAATGGTGGTTGAATTCAGGACAAATCAAATCATGTGTGCATATCTAAATGGCGCCTTAACACATCATTGTCATCATCGAATGGAGTATACAACAGCAGTCAAATCCATGGCTCAACTTCATTAGCTTTGCAAAAGCGCCAGTTCATTCAGCATTCATATGATGGTGATGCTATATCTTAAGTGTTTCAAAAGGCCTGCTAAGTGAAGCCTATGGAGTTAAGAAAAGGTTGCCTACTATTACTGATGATTTTTCGGATTGCTGCACTGGACTGCATCATGCAGAAGACTGTAGTAAGAGAAACAGTTTTGGACGACAAGAAGATTCTAGATGATCTGGACTTTATGGACGACATACATCAGTCGTCACACAAACTTGGAGACCCGCTAGGGAAAAACAGCAACAACAGATTGGTTGAGGAAGGGGCAGGCAGTGAAGATAGGACTTCAGGTGAGTGTAGAGAAGAGACGGACTACTATCATAGTCAAGTAGAGAAATTGTAAACCAGAGCACCATTTTCATCTATCTGGGCGTCGTCATCTCAATACAGACAACTGGCGTGGGCGTAGTTGTCAAAGCCAGATTCAGAAAAGGAAAACATACCTTCATTATTCTGAGATTAACGTGAAAATCTGCCAGAACTAATCAGTAAGTATGCGATTCGGATTTTTGAAACTACTGTCAAATCATACAAGATAAGTTTATTTTGAATGTGACACTGTAATGCAGTATTAGTGACTGGATGACGAGGTTTCCAGAGTAAATTATTATCACTCATAATCATCATATTAATTTAGTCACATGGCTTCACAATTTATCTTATATGTATATGCTCTCTTTCTCTCTCTCCCCAAATTCCCCTTGTTGTTTGTTGCCACTTTCCATATCTCCGGTGTAGGCACTGCGGCATTCCGATTGCACGTTTGTGGTGTGTTGATTCGGTAAACACAGATTCAGTCAGTGATTAACGTCTCTCTCCCTCAATGTCTCTACCTAACTACATTGCCTTCTTATATTCTCACCCTGTCCCACCCGCCTCGTACTGAGTGATTACATGCAAGTGAATTCAACGCTGTGGCCGAGCGTCGTTTACTGTAGGTTATTTAACTTATAAGGGTCAATCATCCAAGGTGTGGCCCAATGTTTATGTTCCAGCAATCTAACTGACTTCTACTAACTAGTTTGGCACCTATGTAACTGACCTCACAGTCATTACATGGTAGTTGGTGAATTATATTATTTTTCCTAATTGGATCTATCGGGTCCTTAAGCCAACAAAGTTTATCTCTGGGAGAGTAGGTTGGTTGTTTGGAATAAATGCCACCCTAATCCCAGTCTTATTGAGAATCCTAAGTAGAAGGGCCTATGACGTTCCTTTTTTATATGGCAGTCTACTGCAGACCTATACCAGCACATACAAGACGGGATTAATAAAAACCAACTCTGTAAAAAGAGTGCACCATAAGACCTATCACCTAACAAACACCCAGAAGAAAATGTAGATGGGCTGGGTATTTGCTGAGGTGACTGTGTTTGTGTGATATCATCAACTAGGCACATCCTCAAGTGGAAACCAAACGTGGAACCACAAGATGATTTTTGATTGGAGGATAACATGGAGGAGAACGTACGAGACGGAGGAAATGAGGCCCCACGAGTAATCCTGGAACCAGCTCCATAAAGACTTCAGAGAACAAGATGAGTAGAAATATGCATCGAATGAAGCCCTTTGTTCCACTCGGAACCCAAAGAAATAATAATAATACTTTTCTCAACTGGCGAAGGATTCAGTAGTTCAAAGAGGTCAAGATTTTTCCACTAAATAACAAGTTTCAGAATCTGGGGAAAAAATGACCTTTAGTTTTAATGACAAGTCGCGCGAGCAGTGTGGAGTCGCTGAACTCGTCAAGGCGCTTGAAGACACATGCTCACTGATGAAATTAGATGGTTGTCTGGATGGTTGGCGTTAGTAAAGCTATACACACAAATCAAATTGCCCGAAAGTAGGATTCATGAGCCAGTCCCAGTGGTTAATTGAATGGTCGTCGACGAACTCAGCACATAACATGAAGGTCGTGGCTCCATAATACTGAGGTAGGGGTTAGTCCCAAACTCAGGAGTACGAAACAGTGCTCAGTACTGAGTGCTAGTGATTTTCCCACAAGTTTCTATCACACTTCGATCTTCTTCATAAAACTGCACATATCTTTCGGTTATATGTGTAGTTATACCTATCTAGCTTTCTCTCTCTCTCCATATGTCTCTATCTTAGTGTGTTCGTCCGTCTATCTGTATGTGTGCGAGAAAGTGTCGAGTGCGTGCTTTCTTCTCTATTTACTGGCAGCTCGACGACTGTCCAACCCCTCTCAACTAGAAAAAAGAACCAAATCATTTCTGGGTATTCTTAATAGACAGACACACACACACAAGTGTGGTGCACACAATGGTGTGTACATAGTGAGTGTTAGAGGCTTTAAAAACGACACAAAAACAATGTAGGCGTCTACCCTCTCTCTATTGGGTAAACTGTACACAATCATTCAACCTGTGTAATAAGATTCGTCATTGTTCAGTTCGTTAGTTAGTCAGTTACTTCGTCAGTTAACTGGTCATTTAGTTAGTTAGTTGGTTAGTTTGTGTGTAACCTATGAGGTAGTAGAGAGTAACAATGTTCAGTCTTTTTTCGTGTTAGTCCACCTGTCTTTGTTTGTTCGTTTGTACTGATAAGAAGACTAAAATCAAATTAAATTGGCGCGAAAAAAACTGTTGTCAATCTGGATTTTGTTCAAAAACAAAATAGCATGTCAATAATGCGAAAGATAACAAAATAGAATATATATAAATATATACATATATATTTGTGGAATTATACTATACTTATTCTATTACGCAACAGCTCGATTATTCAGTAAGTCAATTTTATACATTTATATATTTTTGTTTCAATCTTTGAATTGAACATTGAAAAAAGCTGTTGTTTAAGTTGACGCCAATTATTTTTTCTGGAATCCTACTGATCACATCAGAAGAATATTCATCCATTAAGGAGATTTGATTAGTTTAATTTCAAATTACATCACCAAGTTACAGAACTGACCATTACTTAGCAAACTTTCTATGCAATCTGAAGGTCTTCAGAGGTTCTATTGTCTTTGAGGCTGTGCGTTAGAATAGCTGAAGAGAATTCGTAAAACAGGAGCACAAACCACGTTTCCAGGTGCTTTGGAGTGAATGTCTAGCTCTTGCGTCAGAAAATATTTTTTGGAAAACATCGAGATTACGGTGAACAATGAATATGCTCATTCCTGTAACTTCCTCCTATTCCCCGGTTTCTTTAACCATATTTTCAAGTATTAGTTTCTATAGGAATTTTGTTTGATTGGGCCATTGGATCGGGTCCCAGTGGATTAATGGTCTACGAGCTCGCCTTGTAGCTCAGTCGAATGTTAAATACCTTGGATTGTGTATTTCCTCTGATCACCTTTTTTGGTCTTCTTGTATCATGTTAGTTTCAAGAAAGATGTTGTTTCCTTTAACATTCCACGTAGAGAAGCTAAGACAATCTGGTGTCACTTAGTCAGTGCCTGCTTTCAAAGTTTGCTAATTAATGTTGTCTACCTATCTTCCCTTATTGTTCCCCCACCTGAATCCTTCCAAGGCTACTTAGGAAAGATTGCTATGTTATACTGTGAAGGGCAATATAAGCCATCACTATGGTGAGTGGAGTGTTTTTGCTAAGCCAGCTTGTTTTAATACTGTTTTAGATGGATAACACATGGACTCCTTCAAGACATCAGCAAATATTGTCTTTTTGGATGGACTGTGAGCATCCTGTCTGCTTACAGCTCCCTCCACATTTGCCTGCATTTCATTAGGTAGGTGTGCGAATAGGAGCAACTACAGGAGACTTTATTGCTCAGATGACAGAGTATGAAAACTCTACAATACCTCATTTGTCTGAGGCAAATTTTAGCTGTGATGAGAAAAGTGCGTTAGACATGTTAGACACTAAGTTAACGGCCCTTTCTTATTCTTCCTTTCACAAATATACATTATACATTATACAAATACTCGCCGAAGACATTGGCTAGGGGTCGCGCTATGTCGTGAATTGGCAGAAGTTAGAATTCATGGACCATTGGATCAGGTCCCAGTGGCTTAATGGTATACGAGCTCGCCTTGTAACCAGAAGGTTCTGGGTTCGAATCCCGGTGGGTGCGTACTGCTGAAGAGTCACAAACTAGGATGAAACAGCTGTCCAGTACTCCTAGGTTTTCCAATGGTTCTGTAACTAATGTCAGCTCATGATGAAATCCTGTAACCAATCAAATCCCTACAAACCAACACTTGAATACATTACTATTATTTAATTCCACTTACATTTTAATTTGATATTCATATTCTTATTGGGGAATATTAACAATGTAAATGCCAAGTTTAATTATTTCCCCTTGTATTATATAATGAGAAAATTAGATGCGAAATATTGTATTACATGCTAGAAATTCTAAATTTGTTTCAAAAGTTCTGTTTGAAATAAACCTATGTATTTATGTCGAAGTATAGTGTAATTAACGTTGCTGGTGGAGTTGGCCATGGGTGGCTAGTGGATCAGAAAAGTGGTCCTTGATTAGTTTGATGTTGGAGTCAATTAGCCCAGGACATTTTATTCAATAAATAATTAAATAATTGTCGTAACTGACAAAAATAATGTTGTTTTTTATTCAGAAATTATGCTATCAGATAAATTAGGAAGAATAATACGAAATTAGTGAAAATAATTAGGCTCCACAGGAAGCAAGGGTAACACAATAGTGGTCAGACGTGTTTCTTTTTAATACGTGAAGCATCGGTCGGCTTTTCAGCAAATTGCAATGGCCTCTGGTGTTTCGTCGAGTGGATATTTGTTACTTAGAGGCTTTCTGTGGCTTATCTAGTACTTTCGACAGATAATAAGCGGAAAGATTCTCCAGAGTACTGACTTTATGGTCTTTCTCTATCACCTGACGTAATATGAAATTTTTGACTGGTTGTAAATTGAAATTGCGTTTAAAGCAACTCTGGTTAGTCATTCACGACCGAAAAAGGAAAATTACTTCGTGAGTGGAAATCCAAATATGTATGCTAATTGTCTACCTGTTTTTGAAGGTTGACAACCGCCTAACCTGTTCAACCAAAGCGAAAACCACTTTTTCCAGATATTCTTCACGGAGAGACATATCTATGTCTACATATATGCAGTGCTCACACACTGAATGGTGTGCGCTTGTAGATAAGAGTGGTAGAGGCCTTAACAAAGACACAAAGAAACTGTAGGAGTCAACCGTCTCATTCTCTATAGGATAGACTGCACACAATCATTCAAGCTGCTCATTGTTCAGTTCGCTAGTTTGAGTGTAACCCCATGAAGCACCAGAGAGTTACGTGTCCGGTTCCTGTGTTGATTGATTCACTTTGCTTAAATTGATATATTGGCGCGAAAAATCACCTGTTGTCACTCCATTTGTTGAAATTAGAAAATAAATAAAATATTATGTCAATAATAAGAAAAATCATGAAATAAAATGTAATAAAATATATATATTAGTGGAATTACTACTTAACAGTTCGTACATTTAGTAAGTCAGTTTTTAAATATATATTTACATACATTTCGTTTAAATGATTGAATTGAGCATTGAACAAAGTGATTATTTGAAATGGTGTGAATTATTAAAGATTTTGTGCGTAATTTTTGTTTCTGGAATCAAATCGTCACTAGTTATTCAACAAGTTACCAAGGAGAAATTTACCGGGAATACAGCTGAAATCCCAAGCAGGAGATTCTTGTTGAACACATACAAGTCAGGTTTCAGTCATTTAATTGCGATAGATTCAGCAAGTCGAAGACTTGGGCTGTTTTTTCTCGGTAAACAGGTATATTGATGATTGACGAGTTCAAATTTTGAAGCCTCTTCGGTAGGCATCAAAGCATCTGAAGTAGGCCTCCTTTCCTGTCCTAACACGTGGATTTATAGACACAGTAAGAGATAGTGTATGGTGAGGTGGATTTCAATTGTTCACTTTGGCAAAGAGTATAAAGTTCGGAGAAGGGAGAATCGTTTATCTCCAGGATATGTTCCAGTCAACGCTATACCTAAAGGCTTATGTATCATTTTCACATAATTCCATCGCTATTTGAAGTCGAGTTGAATCAAGACTGACTTCCTGTTGGCTATAATTATATCTGATAAATTTTGCGTTCTTTATTACCATATTTGTTGGTAGCACTTCGTGGATAGACAGCTATTGTCTTTCAGGCATTTTTCAGTCATCATAACTTCACCGTCACATTTACCTCCTGAACACATTCGATTACCGCTACAGACCAGTGTTCAACTAAACCTGGCTCTTTAAAATTCTGTTATCAATCACGAAGACAGCTAGGTGACCCGCTGATTATTTTTAGTTATCTAACAACAATTCAGATTATAATGGAAAAGTTTTGTAGTGCAAGTGGATGAATTTGGTATAGTTGTATTCTATGATCTAGATGGCATACTTCCGAAGCTCTCATTGACTTACTCTAGCCAACATCTTCAACAAACACTTCAGTTTGAATAGTGAGCTTTTAGATTTCTCCACGAGTTCATTAGTCATCTCTCCTGGTGGTAACCATGAGCGTGACTCTTTGGTTGCGTTTGTCTGTCTTCACACACTCTGGTGGACTTTTGTTGGCATTGTAATAGTTTCCTTGACCTGAAGTTTACCTTTTTATGCATGAAATTTTCTTCTTATGCATTGGTAAATCTTCTCTATGTCATTGTGTCTGTTGTGATTACCGACTCACGGGAATTCCAGGACTCCGAAAATTCTCCTATGTTCTTGGTGTTTCCTCTGTCTAATATTTGAACATTGTCCCAGTCGAAATGATGTCCGTGGTTGTCTGTATGCAGTGATATGCGTGGGGGAGTGGATATTATATCTTTGAATGGCTAGTTTGTGCGCGTTCATCGATGCGAAGAAGACGAATAGAGTGTCTGTCCATTTTGGCCAATGTAATGTTTTTCGGAATGGTTGCAATTTACATTGTAGATGATTATGGTTTTGTTTCTTTCGTAGTTGAGTCTTTTGGTTGACATAGAGCCAGCCGAGTGAAGTGATTTTGTTTGTTTTTGTGTGACATGAGTTATTGAAGGTTGGATCAATAGGGCTGTAGTGATTTCTGAGATGTTCTTTATATGCGGCAGGACGAACGTCCTTGTGTTTTCTTCGGGGGCCTTTGATTTGGTTAGTTGACTTTAGGTAGATGTGCACTGCGATGGCGATCCATCCAGCCATTTTGATCACCATGTTGTAGACTAGTCTGTGAGGAAATTAACTCCACACCAAACAACGTAGTAGATAGACGTTAATAGTTACTGTTTACTTTCTAACTACTACAGGTATCAAGTAATCCAAACAGTAGAAGTCATTGCAATTCATCTGAAATGGCCAGAATTTTTTATATAAGAGAAACAAGTCAAGGGAGCATTTCTGCCCTGGCCTGCTTTAGAATCTAAAAAAATTGATAAACATTGTATTACGCCATAGCTTTCAGACGTCAAATTTTTCCCATATGTATATATTCTTCATATGCCTTATCACTACACCTGTCTAGAGAACTGTAGTCTATTTAAACCTTGAGCAGACGACACTGTGTCATGCGATCTACTACCAATCACTTTTCACTTGACACAAAACACACACATAAGAGTATTACTTCCCACATTAGGATCGTGGGTGTGTAGTAATGAAGAGTTCCAAACTAAAGGGATGAAACAGATATCCAGCTCCTCGTATTAGATTTCAACACTTCCCTAACTATTCTTACTTGAGGCAAATCAAATCCCTTCAAGCCGTAACTTTAAAATCAATCTTATGCTCACC